ACCGCAGAAAACAAAGGAATCTGCAGTGAGGCAGGATTGCCCACTCACATCATCTAAAATAATGCATTTAGAGGACATTTCATTAAAATAAGTTAGACTCTGGAGTGAAGAAAATGGAGTGTGAGGGAAACTCGAGGACATTTTCAGAAATGCACCTCTGCCATCAGTTCAGCCATACATAGCGTCATATCAGCCATATGCCAAAAGGTTTAAAGAGTCTGCATGCATCTGGGGAAAGGCAGCTCAAGGGATCATACTCCATTCTACTTCATGTATAATGTCTGTGCTTCTGAGGCAAGTACATGCTGCTCCCTGGATGCCTGTCAAGCAAAAGTAGAGGTTTGTGGAAGAACGCACAGGAGCTAGAATGTCATAAATGTTAAGAGCATTTGGCTTGGCTTGGCACCCCTACAATGAAGGCAGTGGAGGGAGCAATGTGCAAAAATTCCTGTGAGCAACAAGCCATTGGACAGGTGTATAAGCTAGAAACAGCAAAGTCAGATGTCATGGCTGCATATTTCATATCCAATTTATTCCACAAGGCTGCTAATGATGAACTCTGCTCCTAAGGTTTAATACATACTGCTAGGAAAGATACTACAGGTAGAGCTGAGAGGGCACAAAATAATGGTGTGAACGTCCACCTAATGCAGTTCCTGAGTTTCGTCCAAGGCCTGGCTCAAATTCCTGGTACCGAGCATGCAGGAGGAAAAGGTTCCACTACAAGATTTCTGTAGACATATGCCTCACCACTTTTTGTGTGTGTGAGGAAACAAAAAGAGGCGGAAGACATTTAAGGTAAGCATGCACACATCACACGGAACTGGTCAGAACCAAGGTTCTCATGACCTACTGCTGTTTTTACATTTACATGTTTTATATTAGAAGTAGATAAATAAAAATTGGACACCCTGAATTTATTTCAGAAAGCACGCACAGAGAGGCATTTGCCTCTTTCTTATTATGGGGTGGGGGAGGGTTGGCATTATTGGAAAAAAGCAACAATACTAATATTCACTACTGGAGATACTTACAGTATTTGCAAAAATGATACATATGTGTGTGGTGGTATGCTATTTCCATTTTATATGTACTAGTTCACAGCATGCTATTCATGTACAGTACATTATTGTCCAACTTAAGACACAGAGAGGCATCTGAAATGTATTCCACTTCTAATTTTTTTAATCGAAAAATAAGTTTGCCCTGGCATTAAACTATTGCTTACAGTTAATTCTTCCTTATTCTAAGTCCTGACTGAACAGTTTACCGTTGCACAGATGCTGGGCTATATGAAATAGGCATTACTGCAAATTGCATTGCGGTAGTTACTGCTTTTCACAACTTCTTTTCATAGTTTCACAACTAGTGCTCTAACACCTATTGGTGATTTAAAAAAAAAAAAACCTCAGTATTGATCCACTTTTCCTAGTGTGTACACATTTCAAATAATATAAGCATTATGCAAGAGGTGGTGTTTGTTGCATGCATCCTGGTGACCGATACTGTTTGAAACCGGGATAGGTGAGTCAGCCCCAGCTTTCGGGATTCTGAGCTTTCAATGGCTCCTTCCAATGTACAGGGTGGGACCAAGGAGGCTTGCTGTGCTAATTTTTCTACTGCCCTCCAGCTCATTCAGTTTGGCACCAACCTCTCTTGCAGCCTGTGCGGAAAACAGGACTAATGGCTAACCAAAGCTTATTGGCTAAAGTGAAGCAAAATTATAAACCTTTCTCAGTGGAAAGGTAACAGTTGGAGGTTTTGTGGATCCACACTGCATTGTACTCAACAAGCCCTTTGGTTAGAATTTTCCTCAAGTTTGATCTTTTTTACACGCTGTCACATCACTTGGAGGTTCTAAGATGACAAGGACAAAACAGGATGCCCTGTTTTCCCCTTATAGTTCCAAATGATCTTGCATGTAGCCGGGCTGAAATGATTCCTGCCCCAGAAGAAAGATGGCATTTGCTACTATTGTTATAGGGTCTCTTATCTGCTGGCACACATGCTGTTCCAGTGCAAAGCTTGGATTAATGATAAAAATTTCCCAAGTGGAATAAATTACAAGCAAGGGACAGGATGACAGTGATAGTGAAAGAAAAGGATAAGCTTTTGAGCAGTGACGCAAGTAAGAGAAGGTGATTAAGAAAGCTCTTCCCTTCAAGAGCAGACCAACCAAGAAAGATTCTTACATGTATCTTAGATTTAGAGGCTTGAAGCTTCAGCAAGCTTAAGTAAGAAAGGGAAAGGCTGCTGTGGTTTTGCAAATGAGAACAAATTTACTGACATAGGCCAGAGGGTCTAATACATTTCCCCTTTTGGTGGTTAGGGTCATAAAACAGAGAAGGTGAGGTACCCATTGAAGTCAGTGAAAATTAAACATATAAAAGCTTAATGGAACAGGGATTTAGAATGCCAGATCTTACATGGTGCCCATGTTTGCAGTATATGAAGAAGCACTACTTTGAAAGCCCCACACATTTCGGTGGGACCTGCACAGAATTATGCCCATAGTTTTGAACCTCAGAGCCACCATTTCTTTACTTTCCTTTAATCTTGAACCAGCAGTGCCAGTTTTCACAAAGAACGAACCTCTTCCCCACCCCACCCTGTGCTTCCGTTTCATCTAGACCCATAGTTTGACCGTCAGTAAACATTTCCAGCCATTCAGCAATTTTGGGGAGAAAGGGAAGGAACGGAAGCATGGGTGAAGGAAAAACAAAACAAGAACTGTGTTGGCGTAGAGTGAACATGAACTTTCAGATTGATGAAATCCAGTGGGGCAGAAGATCAATGAAAGAGCAAGACACAGACAAGACATACCCACAGTCAGTATCAAAGTCAGGTGGGGATGCAGTATAAGGGTCAAACCAAGTTGTGATCACCTTTGTTCATTACTTAACTTTGCCACTGGTCGTCTAACTATGGGTTAAAAAAAAGAATGGAACTGGAAAGCTACATCTTATCTGAATGTGATGATCAGTGATTGCATAAAATAGCTTCCATAAAACAGATCCTCTTGTTGAACAAACAAGAGTGATTCCTTTTGTTGCCAAGGGAAATAGCCGAGACATGTTGAAATATTTGTTCTGTACTTCTATAGGCCTATCTAGGATTCAGGGTCAGGGCAAGAGATTCTGCTGCTGAAAGTGAGAGGGAGGGGGATGTTAGCCACGCACACACCCCGCACCCTTCATATGTACAGAAGCCAGCAGGATTGGATTGGCAGCTGAATCTTACTTAACTGCTAGCTGCAGGAAGGGGGTAGCTTTCACCACACCTGAGACAGAGGTTAGTTTAGAGGGCTCAGGACAGCTTCCGTAGGATACAGAGCCCTATCCTCAAATAGAGGGGAACAGTCAGGAGTTTCAAGGGGAACTGCCCTCCAGCATCTAACATCTGAGGCAGTTGTCTGACTTTGCCTAATCAGAAAACCATTTTCCTTAAAAGGCTAAGAAACCTAAAACAAATGGCTGCCCCATAGTGTGAATGAGGACAAGCCAGGCAAAAAGAAAAAGGTTCAGTTATCAAGAAGATGCCAGAGCACAACATGATGTGCCTGCTATTTATTTATTTATGCATGTTGCCTGACTGTACGTACACATGAACATTAACGTTCTGACCACTGTCCAGCAGAAGATGGTGATCTGGGGAGGGCTGGGAGTAGGCAAGATATTTCCCTCCCACCACCCCACAAAGTTCATGTTCAGCAGACTGCCACTCACCAGGTAAGCAGGCCTCAGAGCACACCTTATTGTCCAGTGCTTTCACGCTTGCGTTGCCAATGTCATTGTTATTGTCACACTCCATACCTAGGTATGCGGCTGTCCTTTGGCCTGCAAGGGAGTTAATGTAGTTAGAGAAGGGATGGGGCTTTGATCATTATTTCTCCTCCTTCAATAATTGATAATAGGATAACACTTGATGTGGGGTATTCGGATGTAGCAAGAAAAAACCTGAACAACAGCCAATGGGTAGAGAGTGGACAATAAAGCATTCAATTGAGATGTATGTGCACCAAGCCATCTTGACTGGTTTCCTCAAACTCCTCCATTTTTCTTCCTTGTTTCAAGACAACTGTTACTCATGAGGGAGAGGGTTAATGCAATACAGAAGGATATCTAACCTTGCCCATAGAGGCAACAAATAAGCAGGCACTGAAAGACAGGTTACAGAGAAGCAGGCATAAGCTATACAAAACTGTTTTAAGAGATTCTCCAGTTCATGTTTTTGAACTATCCTCTTTTTTTCTCCTTTAATTCTGCCAACATGACTTGAACTTTGAGTCCTTTAGAGCTGTGGTCCCCAACCTTTTTGGAGCCACGGACCGGTTGGAGGGAGTGAGCTCCATGCGCGGGGGTGGGGGCACCCCCGCTCTTGTGCAGTGGGGGTGTGACGCACACTCCAAGGGCGATATGTCCACCGCAGGCGTTTCACACCCACTGCATGAGCGCAACACGCCCACTGCACGAGTGCAACACGCCCACTGCATGAGCATGACACACCCACTGTGAGTGAGACAAACCCACCATGCAAGTGTGACATGCCCGTGAGTGTGGCACACCCCCACACAAGCATGATACACCCCCCATGAGTGTGACACGCACCCCGCACGAGCATGTCACATCCATGCGTGAGCATGACACACCCACCGCATGTGCGTGCGGGGGGGAGATCCATATCTGTGGCCCAGTTCTGGCAAGCCCATGGACCGGCACCAGGCCGCGGACCGGGGCTTGACCACCCCTGCTTTAGAGGACATTATAAGAATGATTAAAAAACAAAAACAAGGCATTCTCTACTGCAAAAGCCAGCAAACTGTTGCCTCCCCAGCAAGTGCAGCCCATTTGGGCAGCTTTCCTTCCCTACCACAAGGAGAACCTCTTAGCAGACCTTCTGACAACACTGAACCAAACCCATAAGGGGCTGAAAGTTGCTAACACTTAGGGTCAACCAGCTGCTGATGAGGGCGCTTGTCATATGAACCTCATCTCTGTCACCCCTGAATCTGACTCCGTGATTACAAGCACTGAGAGCAAGACTTAACAGAAGGATGCATTACATTCCCCAAGTGACATTTCATCCTTTAGGCTAGCTATTCTCAACCTTTTTTTTAAAGCCACGACCCTTTCAGGAGCTCTTCTCAGGTTCCAGGCCCCCCTGTCAAATAAGGATAAAATGTGAACAGGTATCTTTCAGAAACTCCTCACATTTTTCAATCTGTGTCCCCTTTAACGGTGCCAAGACCCCTCAGGGGGCCATATGGCTCCTGTTGAGAATGGCTGCTTTAGGCAACTGCTCTCCACTGTAAAACCTCAAGAGAGAATGGCATCTAACTAGCTTCAAGAAGTTTTCACAGCCACAGTTTCTGGATCCTTCCCCAACTAGCTTGCTAAATTCTGTTTTTGGAATAAAAGAGAAGGTTGAATTGGGAAAGGGAGAATAGAAGATGCCCTCTTATTTCAAATTCTGCTGGTTTTAGTTTCCAGAAAGAAATGCCCTTTTGTGAAAAAAACACAAAAACAACAAAAAACCATTTTCTTTCTGGGCTGGAACAAAAGCAGATGCAGCGAAACAGTACCCTATATCCTGACCATGAAACGCACACTGAAAATGTATTGGGAAAGCCATTAAGTATTTTTGCATCACTGCCTTTACCCACATCTCTGAATGTGATGAAAGAGTAGACTTCCATCTCCTCCTCCTCCTCCATACATGCACACTCAGAGACCAAGGCTCAGCGCAACCACAAGGCCACCACACTCAGCCTTGCTCTTCCCTCTGCGACACCGTGAACAGTGCCAGCTAGATATGCAACATAACCCAACATGGAACTAGGAGATAGAGCCCATTCTGTGTTACCATCTTCCTGTGTGGGAGAGCCATCTTCTTCCTCCATGACATCATTCCCCTGCCAAAAAAGAGATGACAGCTGTGAATCTAAAGGACTGTTCATACTTAAGGAAGACTTAGAAATGGAGTTATTGGACCTGAAGTTCTGCCCTCCCTCCAAAGACTATTTCCTGCAGGAACCTGTGGTGTAAACAATATAGAGAGGAAAACAATTCAGCATGTTGACATGTGGTGCAGCTCTCGCTTGGCTGCACCATTTCAGATTACAGGCAGGTACAAGCTTGAATGCTCTCCTGTAGTCAGACTCCCCGACCACCCCATAAAATGCACCATAGACTTGAGTTTCAGCAGTAAGGTGTGGTCCATTAGGCCAAAATCTGTACTTTGCTCACAAAATCTGTACTTTGCTCAACCTTCAAGCAGTCATCAAACTAATGGAATGGTTACAATGGGAATGTTAGGCCAAAGTAGTTTGTTTGATGTATTCACGAAGGTTTTCACGGCCGAGATCTAATGGTTGTTGTGGGTTTTTTGGGCTCTTTGGCCATGTTCTGAAGTTTCTTCTTCCTAACGTTTCGCCAGTCTCTGTGGCCGGCATCTTCACTCTGACAGAGTGCTGTCCTCTGAAAATGCCGGCCACAGAGACTGACGAAACGTTAGGAAGAACAACCTTCAGAACATGGCCAAAGAGCCTGAAAAACCCACAACAATCATTAGTTTGTTTGATGCTTCATTAAGTAAACAGAAATGCTGGAAATTCTCAGTGAAATCCAGTTGGATACTATTTTGACCATCAGAAGCCACTCCTGAAGCTTGTAAGTGTTGAAATTACTGATTCAGACTAACTGATTTCTGGATTGGAGTCTCAAGCATATCTTTTTCCTAGCTAGGCAAAAAAAGGAAAAGCATGAGAGCCTAGAGCATTCACTCTGCTAACAATGGGGGTCTGCAAAAATCCAGACTAGTGAAGCCATCTTTTTTCTTTTTCAGCTCAGAATACTACATGCATCTCATGAACAGCTCTGTGCTCCTGGATCAGTTTTTCAGCTCAGAATACTACATGCATCTCATTGTTCAGAGCTACGAATTGCTTCTTTCAGCAGCTCTGTGCTCCTGGATCAGTTCCTCCCCATTTGGGATCCTGTACCTCTCCAGTTATTCCTCTTTGGAATGAACCTTACCTATCCAATCCCATATCATCTTCTAAATACTGCATGTTGTTTTATCCCTTGGTTCCCAATCAATTTTTTAATCTAATTTTATTTTATTTTTGCAGCAAAACAAGATTTCACAGGCAAGCTGAAAACCCCATTCCCTTTCAGACTCCAGATGTAAAACAGGTTTTCGAACATGGAGATTTACCTCTGCATCTCGCTCCTCAGCTGAGATACTGACAAAGTTTGCATCTGGAGATTCAACAGGGGTTGACTAAAAGAAGAGAAAGAGGTGTAGAAACATGGACATAATACCAACTCTCCATACAGACAGGGTCTATCAACCGCAACGTATTTATTTATTTAAAATATTTTTACTTGCCTTTCTCCTTAAAAAGGACCCAAGGCAGCTTACATCACTGAAAGACAATATTTAAGCTGACAACAATGAGTATACAAACGTTAAAAAGGAACAAACAAATACCACTCTGAGAGATGGTAAACACAAGTAGTACTAAAGACCCAGTCAGAGCAGTACTCCATAACAATCCTTCTAAAAGTCATATCTCATTTGCTTTTTACCTTTCCTCTCAATAAGTATTTGAACAAGATAAGCCTGGCAGGTCTGCCTGGCCACACCCAACAGGGTAGTAGGTATACACACACACAGCCGCCATCGCATGCTAAAAAAACTCTCTCTCTCTCTCTCTGTGTGCGTGTGTGTGTGTGTGTGTGTTGGACAATGGTAGCTTTTGATTAAGGCATCCATTAGTACCCCAATCCCCCAAACCCCACACTTTTGGTCACTGGCACCTTGATCAGCTTCCTGTACTTACATCTCCTTCTGAAGGGACTGCACTGGCAGCGGCAGGTGAGGGGACCATGTCTCCCTCTTCTTCGGTGCCAGGAGCAACGTAGGAGCCTGACATGGAAGACATGGTGTCAGTGCTGATCTCAGAGTGCTGGCTTTGGGAGGAGGCCATGGACATGACAGATTGGGCCAGACTGCTGCTAGCAGGATCTAAGGAAAGAGAGGAGGGCTCAGACAAGACATGGTCAGGAGTACTGAGTACAAGAGACATGCCTGCGGCTCATTATGCTTTCAGTTTCACACTTAGCTGCCTTAAGCACCCTTTGGTGGAAAGACAAAATAAACTTTCACAAACCAGCTAAGCCTTTTAAGGGTTTCCAAGACCCAACCCAACAATTTATGTCCTGAACAAGTGAATTCTTTATTCATTTGCTATGAATCCAGTTATGTTACCTAACTTGTTCTCCTTCCCATAGCTTTACTATCACATCTGACTTCTATTTATGCATCCTTGGACAGTTTGTAAACACTCAGATCAGCTCAATCCCTCTTGATTAATTTCTTTAGGCTTCCATTTGTGCTGCTTCCTAAACTTTAACAGTGGCCAGAATCCTATCATGGAATGATTGTATATAACACCAATTACATAAGCATAGGGAGGTGTCTGGCTAGCTGGCTGTTATTTATCCTGTAGTTCTCTAGGCATGTAATCCAGTGCATGATTGGTCACGCAACCAGCAGACAGCAACTAGCAAAAGAACATGCTGTTGTGCATGTAGTATTCTCGAACAAGATTTTTGCCAGTAAGATGAATCCCCTAGAGCAGTGGTCCCCAAACTTTTCTAAAGCAGTTTAGCATGCGGGTGGGGTTAGCATCTGTGCAGGGGGGGACCCATGCATGGGTGAGTGGAGCATCCATGCATGCATGCGTGCAGGGAGGCTGTGCATGTGTCCATGTGTGCATGGGCAGGGCATTTGTGCATCCATACGTGTACGTCAGGGGCGTACGTACACGCGGGGTTGCATGGGCGAGTGGAGCATCCATGCATGCATGAGTGCAGGGGGGCTGTGCGTGCGTCCATGTGTGCATGGGCAGGGCATGTGTGCGTCCATACATGTACGTTGGGGGGCGTATGTGCACGCGGGGGGTGTGGAGATCTGTCTCCGCAGCCCAGTCCTGTCAAGGCCACGGCCCGGTACCAGGCCATGGAACAGGAACTGGGGACCCTGGGTGTAGAGGATTAACATGTTTCCCAGAGAAATAGGTGAACAAAGTAGCTTGTCTGAAAAAATAGTTTAGCTAGACAAGACAACATGTTTGATATGCATCTTGTATTTTATGGGCTCATATTCTATTCATAGAGATCTTCCTTCTAGCAAAGAAGAAATACAAATGTGAGAAGAAGAAGAGGAAGAAGAGGTGTTGGCAGAGGAGGAGGAAGAGAAGGAGAGCAGGGAGTGAGAGAAACCCTCATAATAACCTTGACAAGGAGGCTTGCCATAATGTTTTCCAAGAATTATGGCACGTGAGCTTTCCTACTGTACCTTCTGGGGAAGAGATAGTAGAAGAGAGAGGTGTCCCTGTACAAGAAGACTGGTCTATTGCTCCTGAGGACGATAAGGTGAGGTTTTCACTTTCTGGCGTCACACCACATTCCTAAAAGACATAGAAAACTTTATCATTTCCCTCCTTCTGAAAGTTGGGTGTCGGAACCTCAGCTGTTCCCAGCTTGATTCAAATTAAGCCAGGAGAGATCTGGGATATTCAGGGGCAAAGAAGCAGGGGTCAGATCAGTCTTCTGAAACTACTCAAGCCCCAGAAATTTTGTCTGATGTGATGCAATGGAGAAACCTAGCCAACTTTAAGAGGACTGTTGGGGTTCTGGTAGCCCAAGTGGTCATCTTTAAGCTGCCCACGATGCCATGATTCACGGCTGACATGGCTTTTTCTCAGCTGGCAAACCATTTGCCAAGCAAGGAAGCATTGATTCTCTTACATCTCTAGATTTTAATCTGAGCAAAAGAAGGATTTTCTGGATGTAAAGCCCATGTGGCCTTTGAGGTGATCTTTCCTGGTCCTCTGAAACTGTTTCCCAAGCTTGGCTTGAGAGAACTCCACCAACATCCCTACTTGCCACATGTGGGTACTACGGCCCTTGGGTTCAAATTCTAGGATATCTGAAGAATATCCAACAGTAGAATCCTCCCCTCTTAGCTCATTATCTGGGCAACTGGCCTGCAGTGTAGAAGATGCCCAGCCACTTTGAGTGAGCAGTGATTCAAGATCTTTCTGATAAGTGATCACCTCTTCTTGAGGACAAGGAGACTTTCTCCTAGAAACTCTGATTTCAGCTTCACTGCACGCCTTCTCATCTTCTTCATGCAGTACTGAGGAATTCTGAGATATAGACCTGTTGAGAAGAAAGATGCTTTCTTTCTAGCATAAATCAAATAGAGAGCTGGAAAGCTCTTAAAAAGAAAGTCACCACATAAAACCCATGCAGAAAACTGCCTATTAATGAACTAGCTAGATGGAGTATAGGCAACACATGGACCAGGAGCCACATGTGTCCCCTTGTCATTTCTTCTAGCCCTGCCATCCTTACCTAGCTTCTTAATATTCCAGTCACTACTCAGTTTGCTGGGCTGACAACAATCAAAGAAATAAGTACCATTTTCATCTTTTAAGGGTTTGTCTACACGGGCTCATTGGAAGAGGCTGGAGCTGGCAAAATAGGGTCTCTAGGGGTCATGGACAGGTGTGGTGTACTATCTGGATGTGCTGTAATAGAGTCTCAGATTTTTAAAAATTTTCTCTTCATCCACAGCTAAGCAAAGGAAGTGTTAAATTTGCCAATATCCCAAGATGGCCACCTTCTTAAAACACTTAATGATACAGCAACATGACAGTGGATGGAGCCTTGACAGTCCCAAGATGACTTTGGTTCATTTCCAGTGATCACACACTTTGGAAACAAACCAAAACAGAGCTATTCTACCTGCACCAAAAATTTTACTAGCCTTTAACAGAGTCCCAGAACAGTGTGGGTAGGAAACCTCTGGGGATAGGCTGGGTCACTCCAGCAATTACATCATGTGATTACCAGAAAAAGGAGCAAACCAACCCATCCCAACAGTGGACCAAAGAGCAGACTACTTGCCCATCTGATAACACCCAGCATCTCAGTGTTTGGCCCCACATTTCCCACTTCCAATTCCTTTCTGGTTAAGATAAGGTAGGCATCATGTTTATGTGTCATATTGTGTTTTGGGGAGGATTTACCAGTAGGCAAGGTGAGCAAGTATCAGGATTTGTAGTTTGCAAAACAGCTAAATGCAGCACAGGAGGTAGACTTGAGCAGGCCACTTACTTAGTCAAACTCTTCTTCAGCTTGAGTCCTTGGTTGCCACAATCCGACAAGCGTTCGAGAGGAGACAGGGTCCGTATGGGAGGCAGGTGGCCATCACTGCCATAGGATGGGAGCATGCCTGAGACATGGTTGTCACCAAGGACGTGAAGCGGGAGGGCGGCTGGGGATGGAGTCAGGGGCCCATTAAGAGCTTCCAGGAGAGACACCACTTCATAGCCGGGAGGGATGTTCTCTGAAGACTAGAGGAGGCAAACATGAATGTGAAATATCCCTCAATATCAAATATGCTTTCAAAGGAGACTACAAGACAAAACAGGAGGGTCCATCCATCTCTAATAAAAAAAAATCTGCCTTATACACAATGCATAAAGAAGAACTGAGATAATGAATGAAGGAGTAGCTTACTCCATGCAAAGTTGTTTAACGTTCTATGATGTAAAAAAGCTTGCATGGTTATGAATGTTGGGGGATTTTCTGAAATTTCCAGAGGGACTTTCAATATATTGCAAGGTATACAAATACTCCAAATCACCCTCCCAAAAAGAGTGGGCTTGCAAAATGAAGTTTGTTCCCACCCAAGCCCCCTATGTCCGAAAAAACAAGGTAGAATGAAAGAGAAATAAAATCAGCTAAATGAAATGAAATGTACATTTCTTATAGTGTTTCCTATTTCCACTGAACATTCAATGTAAGAAATTATGAAACCAACCCATAACACACCCTGATGGGGCCTGACCCACTGATAACCAGAACAGTTCATTTTTGGTTTGCTGTACGATGGTTCCCATACATTACCATTGGCTGAAAAGTTTTTAAAAACTACATGGATAAAAAAGAATCAATAGATACATTGAGATATTTCTCATTTTATCCATCTTTTGGGGGTGGGTGAGAGGGAGGGGGCTCTGTAGCTGGCTGAAATTTGGTGAAATCATTTACTCCTTGCACAGGTGACAATGTCATACAGTGACCTCATATTAGAGGTCTACTTCTGTATTTATTCTGCAAGGCAAGACGTTCATCCAAATTATCAGAATGACCTATTGTAGTGCACAAGGACTGGTTTTCAGATTTTATTCTGGACAAGATAATCTGGATTACTTAACTTGGAATGTTTTAATTGGAAAAAGGGAGACAAAGACTATATGGTTGTAAATAGAGCATTACTGAATGGCACCCATTCAAGACTACAGAATTAACAGTCCTCAAGAATCTTCCCATATACAGCCTGCAAGGATAGCTATCAAGGTACACTGCATGCTCTTGTCTTATACAGTATATGAAAAATCTGTCTTAATTCACTCATTGTAGCAAATGAGTAGCAGCTTTGTTCTTTGCTCATGTTTCTTTAGATTACACATGTAATCTAAACAAAACTAATGTCCCAAGAACAATTCTAGGTTTTAAGCACAAAGCTTTTTTTTAAATCAATCTAGACAATATGGAGAGTCATTTGTCTTCCAAATGCACAGCAAAGCAGTACCATCACCCAAATTTCATCTGCGCTTAGGGTCAAGAAGACCAAGAATATGAAAAATTCCAGTACTCCATAGGACAGATATGATGGTAGCACTAAATCCTGAGCTTGCAGAAGTAGACCAGGAAACAATTCTAAGATGGTGCTGCTGGGACTGAATAGATCTCTGTAGGACACAAACTGCAGCTGCAGTGGGGAATGTTTAGTCATTGAGAGAGAGAGGGAGAGAGAGAGATGGCCACTCCCATAAGCACAGTTAGTAACACAGATTAAATTCCAAGTTTTGTGGCTGTATGACCAGGCCCTGAGCCATCACAGGCCATGTGGACGGAAGACAGAAGCTGTTCAGCAGCATCTGGAGAACCATACATTCTCCCTCCCTCATCAACAGTCTAAAAAGCCTCAACTGCTGACAGGTCTTCCAGACTGGCAATTCTTTGGAACTCATCCATGGCTGCTGGATCATGACCTTTATTTGCCTCACTCATGATACTTTGGGGCACTAGAAAGAATGATCCTCAAATCCTCCTTCTTTCTTTCACACTGGAGAGGGAACACATATGTGACTGTGTACTGACATGTGCAAATTAAAATAAATTTTTAAATAAAACAAGATTCAAATGATTTATACACTTTTATGAAGTGCAGGGTTTGTTATTTAAAATGTATTAAGGAAATTAAGAAACTATAAAGAAATGTGATATAAGAATCATGCTAGCAGATGCACATATCTTATTTGGCAATAACTGTGAAAGAAATTCCAGTTCTACTCTAGGCTCTCTTTCATCTTAAAGTAATTCATTTGGGTAAAGTGATATTCTCATACAATTTGTTTTCCATTTGTGCAATGAAGTGGACCAAAGCTGTTCTTCTTTTCCAACCACACAGAGCATATGTTTGTAAGCAAGAAGTACATATGCTCTGAGATACACAGATAATCATTGCTTCTTGCCATGTGACCATATTTGTGTTTTGACAAATGGACTCCCTGCTCCTGACTGAGATTTGGTTGCCACTTAACTGCCTGTGGCAGTTTTTTTTCTGGCAGTTATTCATTATGCAAATTTCCTGTAACAGAAACAAGAAGTCTTGTAGCAACTTCAAGACTAATTAGTTTTTATTTGTCTAAAAAGTGCTACATGACTTCTGGTTTCCAATGTGCTAAATCAGATGAAGGGCTTGTCTACATGCCTGTTCTAGAGTGAACTGGAGTGAGCTAAGGAGGGTCCCCACCAACTGCTTTCAGAAGTAGGAGGAGACAGGAGGGGGCAATGGGTGGGGTGGAATTTGGTTTACTTTACTCTTAAAGAGACAGTCAAGAAAAGAAAGAAAAATCCCCCTCCAGTCTGCTCCTTTCATGGCTGATGCTCCACTTGCTCCTTTTAAAAAGCCAAACCAAGCTACATAAACATGCAGACACAGACAGACAAACAAACCCTCTCTCTTTCTCTTTCTCTCTCTCTCTCTCTCTCTCTCTCTCTCACACACACACACACA